CTCCCCCCCACTTTTCCCCCCCCCCAGCCACATCCCATCCCATCCCATCCCATCCCATCCCATCCTCATCTTCATCCTACCACAGCCCAACCCCACCCTGGCCCCATCCCAACCTCATTCTACACCAACCCCCTGCCACCCTGGATGCATCCCTCCCTGGCCCCATCCCACCCTGATCCCATCCCATCCCATCATCCTACCCCAGTCCTATCCCATCCCATCCCATCCCATCCCATCCCATCCCATCCCATCCCATCCCATCCCACCTCAACCTCCTCCCACTCCAGCCCCATCCCACCCTGGCCGCATCCTACCTTGGCTCCATCCCACCCTGATCCCATCCCAGCTCAACCTCATCCCATCCCATCCCATCCCACCTCAACCTCCTTCCAACCCAGCCCCATCGCACCTTGGCTGCATCCTACCTTGGCCCCATCCCACCCTGATGCCATCCCATCCCATCATCCTACCCCAGCCCCATCCCATCCCATCTCATCTCATCTCATCTCATCCCATCCCATCCCATCCCATCCCATCCCATCCCATCCCATCCCATCCCATCCTATGTCATCCCATCCCATCCCATCTCATCTCATCTCATCTCATCTCATCTCATCTCATCTCATCTCATCTCATCTCATCTCATCTCATCTCATCTCATCTCATCTCATCTCATCCCATCTCATCTCATCTCATCTCATCTCATCTCATCTCATCTCATCTCATCTCATCTCATCTCATCTCATCTCATCTCATCTCATCTCATCTCATCTCATCTCATCTCATCTCATCTCATCTCATCTCATCTCATCTCATCTCATCTCATCTCATCTCATCTCATCCCATCTCATCTCATCTCATCTCATCTCATCTCATCTCATCTCATCTCATCTCATCTCATCTCATCTCATCTCATCTCATCTCATCTCATCTCATCTCATCTCATCTCATCTCATCTCATCTCATCTCATCTCATCTCATCTCATCTCATCTCATCTCATCTCATCCCATCTCATCTCATCTCATCTCATCTCATCTCATCTCATCTCATCTCATCTCATCTCATCTCATCTCATCTCATCTCATCTCATCTCATCTCATCTCATCTCATCTCATCTCATCTCATCTCATCTCATCTCATCTCATCTCATCTCATCTCATCTCATCTCATCCCATCTCATCTCATCTCATCTCATCTCATCTCATCTCATCTCATCTCATCTCATCTCATCTCATCTCATCTCATCTCATCTCATCTCATCTCATCTCATCTCATCTCATCTCATCTCATCTCATCTCATCTCATCTCATCTCATCTCATCTCATCTCATCTCATCCCATCTCATCTCATCTCATCTCATCTCATCTCATCTCATCTCATCTCATCTCATCTCATCTCATCTCATCTCATCTCATCTCATCTCATCTCATCTCATCTCATCTCATCTCATCTCATCTCATCTCATCTCATCTCATCTCATCTCATCTCATCTCATCTCATCCCATCTCATCTCATCTCATCTCATCTCATCTCATCTCATCTCATCTCATCTCATCTCATCTCATCTCATCTCATCTCATCTCATCTCATCTCATCTCATCTCATCTCATCTCATCTCATCTCATCTCATCTCATCTCATCTCATCTCATCTCATCTCATCTCATCCCATCTCATCTCATCTCATCTCATCTCATCTCATCTCATCTCATCTCATCTCATCTCATCTCATCTCATCTCATCTCATCTCATCTCATCTCATCTCATCTCATCTCATCTCATCTCATCTCATCTCATCTCATCTCATCTCATCTCATCTCATCTCATCTCATCCCATCTCATCTCATCTCATCTCATCTCATCTCATCTCATCTCATCTCATCTCATCTCATCTCATCTCATCTCATCTCATCTCATCTCATCTCATCTCATCTCATCTCATCTCATCTCATCTCATCTCATCTCATCTCATCTCATCTCATCTCATCTCATCTCATCCCATCTCATCTCATCTCATCTCATCTCATCTCATCTCATCTCATCTCATCTCATCTCATCTCATCTCATCTCATCTCATCTCATCTCATCTCATCTCATCTCATCTCATCTCATCTCATCTCATCTCATCTCATCTCATCTCATCTCATCTCATCTCATCTCATCCCATCTCATCTCATCTCATCTCATCTCATCTCATCTCATCTCATCTCATCTCATCTCATCTGGGGCTGCGGAAAGCTTCCCACCCCACCCCACCTCGCCGAGCCACTTTCTGGAAGAGTTTCCCACAAGATGCTTATGCACATCAGTGTCCTTGGTTTGACCTCTGGGAGATCGGGGTTTCCATACAGGCCGGGCCAGGAGGCAGCAGGGACAACCCACATCCAACCCATCCCCGTGTGTCCCTCAGACCAGCAAGGGTCAGCTCGGTGCCACAAGCCACCTCCACAGCCAAACCAATCCTCCACCGCCCCACGAAGGCGGGCCAAGGCAACGAGCCTCAGCTGGTTCCCTCCCTATGGCTATAAATGCTCCCTCCTGCTCCTAGCCCAGGGCAATTATGGGGGGGGTCAGCAGTGATTTTTTTTTTGCTGGCGAACCACCTTTAATTGCAGCTGGGGTTTGCCAGCCCTCCTAATTCCCCCTGCTGCAGCCCGCGGTGCTCTGCGAAGGGCTGGTTCCCCCAAAACAGAGCCGGGGTGATGCTCGGGGCGGGGGCAGAGCCTGTGCCGGGATGGATAATGTCCCCGGTTGGGAAAGAGCCTGTGCCAGGATGGATAACATCCCCCCAGAAGGCGCTGAGCCCGGGGAGGTAGGTCCTGTGCTGCCGTGGAGCTGTGTCTCTGGGCGTGTTGTTTTTGCAGGAGGGGTGGAGAAGCCAGGCTCTGGGATGTGGTTGTCCCTCCGTCATTGTCTGTCTGTCTGCCTCGGCGTTGCTGGGTGTGGAAATGGAGACTAGGCTCAGTCTGGCTTGAATTTAAGCTCGGAGAGCCGTGGCAGGCAGGCAGTTGCCTGGGGGATGCTTTCTGGTGTCCAGGTCCTCACGTCTCCATCCTTCCCTCTGCTCACGGGGGCCTGGGGAGCTTTATCTCAGGTGGGTAAGGCGGTGAGGGGATGCCACAATCCTGGGGACAGCCTTGTCCCCGTGTGGGCTGGTTGTCCCCACCTCCTGTGAGGTGCTCCCAGGGTGACGCCGACATGCCTGCAGCCTGCTCTTCTCCCCCAGGCTCTGTCCTGTCCTGTCCTGCTGGGCTCGTTGCCAGCCGAGCCTGTTCCGCA